GCCTGGAACCACGGGGCCGCGTACTGCTGCGCTCCGGAGCCATCGCGGCAGCGACGCGCGCTGCGTCCCTAACTCACCGCAGGCCCCTGCGGATGGTCCTCTCCCCTGTGGGCCACGGTTAAACGCCACGGCCCCACGGCCGCCCTGCTGCGAGGTGCTTTTGTTCCCGTGAAATAAAGGATTCCTTAAGAACTTGAGTGAAAATACTAGTTGTAATAAAACAAGATGTTTGTATCAAGGGAGCTGGACTTCCTCTGCGTGTGTATCATGCTTGCTTTAAAAAAAAAAAAAAAAGGAAAAATACTTTGTGCTCTCTGGGTCTAATCTGTTAGTGAGTTTTTCCTGGGGTGCTCTGCCAGCACAGTGTGGGACCAGTGCGGGGTGCTGGGGCAGGCAGGGCTGGGACTGGAGCTTCCCCCAAGCTCAGCTTTCATTCTCCGCTGTGATTAATTGCAGTTAGTGCTCATCTGCAATTTTAGAGAACAATCGGATGACGTGCCTTGCTGTTGATTTAATTGAAACCTGATGAGGCGTCAGAAGGCTGTTGTGCACCGAGGTGAGCCGTGCTGGGATCCTCTTGGGAACCCCGTCCCCTCTCCGCGTCCTTGGCAGCGCCTCGGAGGGCTCAGGCTCCCCCCCCGTTTATTCTGGGCTGAGCTTGTGCTGTAGGTCTGGGGTCTCCTTGCCCTGGAGATTTGTGACCAGTCTGGATATTCTCAAGTGCCGTAGCGTTAAGGATTTGGAGTTTCGCACCGCTGTGGTACAGACTGCGGTGGAGGTTTAGGGTATTTGGGATACATGTCTCGTTCCCCATTGCAGAAATCCTCCGCTCTCCCTGTTCATCTGCTTGAGTGGTGCCAGTGATTTCTAAGGCAGTTAGGAAGGCTGAGGGAAACTGCTTTCAGGTCAAGACCTGCTTTAGTCTGTAGTGAATTACTACGCCTGGGTTTTAAATCTTTGCAAACAGAGGATTATGGTGGTGATGAATACTAGGTGGGCCCAGGGATTGCCGTACTGCCGGCTGGAGAGAGCGTGGCCTTTCCGTTTAGCAGATAGAGAGCGATGGATGTTAAAAAAATAAATTGAGAAACAGCCTGGGTTGTAGCTTAGATGCTATTTCTCCTTGATTTACATTTCTGCTTGGATGCTTCGCAGAGTAAGCAGTGTATTTCTTGCTTAACCTCATGGGGCTTTGTCCTTCTTAAATGAGGACAGTGTGGTAGATACAACCAATTGCCAAGAGCCCCGGATTAGTGCAGGATCTGCAAAAAATTCAGAGCTGCTGTACAGCCCAGTGTGTCTGCTTGAAACACAAACATCAAGTGACGAACGCATCTGCAGTGGCAAAGCTGCGTTCCTGTGCTGGAGGACAGCTGCTGTGCCTGGCTGCTCTCGGCATCTCTGGGTCTCTAGTCCGCGACGGTGGCTTTCGAGGCTGAAAAGAGAGCGATTGCCCACTGCTCACAGCAGACTGGGGGTCGCCAGCGGCCTGTCCCAAGCACGGTGGGCCAGGGGGTGAGGAACCGCGGTGGTGTGAAGGCTGGAGTGTGGGCAGCACCCCAGAAACGCCAGCCTGGTGGGCAGCCCTGCCCGCAGGCACGGCGGGTGCCGACAGCAGAGGGTGAGGGTGGGCAGGGTTCCTCCGCTGCCTGCAGGGACTGGGCAGGAGGAAGGCTGAGGGCCTCGTGTGCTGATTGCTGTGGAAGCGGGGGTGACACAGATGTCTACCCTGCAGAAAGCTCTATCGGCACCTGTGCATGACGAGTGGGGGCCCAGACAGGTTGGCACGGTCTTTTTAATCCAATTAGTGCTGATCACTAAGCAACCTGGCCAATTTGCTCTTGGCTTTTATAACACATATAAATAGCGTTGGCGTTACATAATGCCACAGGGGCTGGCTCAACTCTGCTCGTGGTCCCTGAGCAGGGCTGAGCTTGGCTGGCCAGAAGATAACCATGAAGAACCCATGGGATGGTCCCATCTCTCATAGCATTTGCTGCATTCCACTTGCCTGCTGCAATCTGTCCAACATCCCCAGATCCACCCAGGACGAGCGGTCTTGACAAGGCACGTCTCCTGCACCCTCTCCCAAGCAGCATCTCCATCAGTCGGTCTCCTGTGCTGCAGAGGAGACTATGACAAATGCAGGCAGGGCCCTGACCCTGTTAATGGGTTCAGGCCCAGCCTTGATAGTGATGCCCTCCAGCCTCTCCTCGCTCTCGGCTTTACCACTGCAAATGGAAGGTGCTTCTGTGTCTGCACGACCCTCCTTGTCTTGGACAGCATACCACTGGCCATAATAAAGTTTTCCAGGCTACTGCAGACCGCCAGCAGTCTGTGCAGGCAGGAGGCTGTAGTCTCTGCCCTTGGGGCAGCCCGGGTCAGGCCACTGGCAGCTAATGAGCTTGTGCAGGTGTTACTGAGGGGTCCGCGTGGCTGACTGCATTATTGATGCTGTCCGTGATGGAAATTGCTGTGGTGCTTCAAGCCAGGGATGCTGTGGAGGCTGGAGCTGGGAAACGCTCGTGGAGTTGGTAGCTTTTCCCAGAAGTACATACGGTGAGCAGAAGCACTTCCAGAAAGGGGGAGTCTGGGTTGGAGCTACCTCTTGCTTTTGTCAGTCATACAGAAAACCGGTCTTCTGGAAGGAAGGAGGGAGTGGATAGAAGCAGGAACTCACCAGAAATGGTTTCCAAAATAAATGATGCCTAAAATGCACAGTGGTAAATTCTGTTGTGACGGTTGAAGATTCCTGGCTTTCTGTAGAGGTTGCAGCTGGATTGCGTTTGCCCTGAATTGGCTGACTCTTACCTGCAGAGCTGATGGCACCAAATCCTCGTTAGGTGTAATTCGTCATGTGAACATTGGTAATCACTGGTTATGATTTTGTCTTGTACAGCTGATTTTTCCTTTTTGTGCTTTCAGAAATAACACAGATCATCCAGGTGGACTTGGACCTGAAGTACAAGAGCAACATCCGAGACCTGTTTGATGAGTTCGACAACTTCGCGGAGGGAGCAGTCATCGGGATTGCCAGGGAAATGCAGCCAGTGTACAGGTACAGCTCCCTCCCCGAGGAGAGCAGGGGTGGGCAGCGGGTGGCTGGCGTGTCTCGCCATCAACTCAAGTCAGTCTGGAGGAAAGCCTCGGGGGAAGCAACTCCCTGCTTTGATCCCTGCGGAGGGACTGAATCTGAAACCTACAGGTCGGTTTGAACAAAGTGTGCAGTGGTTTCCCACACGCTGTCACAAGGCTTCCAGAGTCAAGTTCCTCGTGATCGGTGCCAAAATCCATACCTAGATTATAGCACATCTGCGGGAGATGTTTTTGCCCAGCCATCTGTGCTGAGGTGCTCTGATTGCATTCTGAAGCATCCGTCTGTACATTGGGCCTCAGGGGTTTTGGCTGTGAATATTGCCACTCTGCCCAAGCAGGACCAACATCTTCCCAGCCCGCGTGGACCTGGGACCAGTGCGTTTCAGCTGTACTCGTGCATCATGTTAGTCGGACAAAGAGGAACGTATGGCCAGAGGACTCGCTCTGAGCAGTGTGGTTGCCTTGCGTCCTGCTGGCTAGCTTGCCTCTTCGCTCTCTACCTGTTTTTTCCACAAAATATCTGACCTAGCATTCATGGAATCCCCCTGGCATGAGGTTTAAGTAGATCAGTCTGCCTTCTCCAGCCGGTAGCTTGCTTGCAGCGAGTGTGAACCCTGTCCTCTGCTGATGTGAGAAATCTTTTGGGACATGCCTAAAATGATCAACGCAGTGGAGAGATGTGTCTTCCAGTGCCCATTGTTTGGTGGCACTTGGTCATTTCCCTGTAGGCAGAGAGTAGGGGTTGGGGTTGGATAACAGTGAGGTTCTGGGTCCCTGGAGTGTCAGTGCACCTTCTGTTGGAGAAATATTCCACCAGGAAAGACCCGAGTGGGCAACTCTGTTGGTGACCTGGGCTTGCAAGCGTGTGGATAGCCGCATGGTCACTTGCTATTCAGGCCCTTGGTCTGCCAGCCGGTGCCAGCTGTGGTGGCAGCTAGCTGTGGGAGCTGTGTGTGGAGGGGTGACCCCACTCTTCCCACTCACAGGCCACCGACGGGCTCCAGGGACACAGATATTTCCAGGCTGGTGCTTAAAGAAATTGATGTAGTTTAACCCGTGTTGTTCCAAGGATGAACCTCAGGTTTTGTTCTAGTCCAGGGTGAATCAGATCATCAACTCAGAATGCCTTAATGGCTTCTCAGCTGAGCAGAGTTTGAGCATTTGAGATTGCTTGGCTAGATTTTCTAATCCTAATGGAAATGCTCTTGGAGAAAGATAAAAAAGCTTAAGAGCTCTGTATGTCTTTTCCTTCCCTACTGGAAGCCTTAGTAGTGAGATCAAGAACTGAACCTCCTAAGACATGTCCAGCAGCATTCTTGGGCAAAGGCTGAGCTGCAAAGATCTGGAGCAGCCGTTCCTGCTGCATATGTGTCCAGATGGGACGAGAGTGGACACAGAGAGATGTTCATCAGCAGGGGATTGATGGTCATTAATCACCACTGATCGTTTTCTAGAAGCCCAGGACAGCTGAGAGCATGCTCATGAGAGCATTTCTGGTTGCTCAAACTGCAGAAGTCACTACTGCTTCCGGGCTGGAAAAAGACATCTCTATGCCCATGGCAGAATTGTCACGTCCCCTCCTGGCTTGTGCTCCGGCAGGGAGAGCTGGGACCAGAGGAACGTGAATGCTGAGGTCTCCTCTCCGTAGTGTGGCACCACGCTCGGAGCAGGGAGGGCTCCTCTATCCGCTTTGGGAGTCCTGGCAGGATTTTGGTGCCTGGAATGGTAAATCCAGCCCCAGTTAATCATATCCAATTGTCAGAGCTTAAAGCGGGATGGAGGGAGCAGCGACAGCTGAGTGCGGCTGTGGGGCTGCGTCGGATTGTCAGCCTCAGTCAGTGCTGCCCAGCACGGCAGATCCTGTTTGTTAGCGGTGCAGCCTGTAACGGGATAAATTAAGCATTTGTTTGCCTGCAGTTAGTCCACGGTAGAATCACTTCGTGTTTCTGCCTGCAGGGATCGGTTTTGGGTGATTTCCACGCATAGCTAGGGAGCGGGGACGGTCGTCCGCTGCCTGGATGTGGTTTGTGGGACCGGGCGTGCCGGGAGGGGACCAAGTTAAACTTTGGGGTGCATCGCTGGTGGGAGAGAGCTCTGACACAGCATGGGACATGGGACCACAGGGCTGCGCACTGAATATCTGACCCGAGCCAAAGCCGTGCTCTCCCCTCTCCTGCCGCCCGTGGTGGGGACAAACAACCCAGACAATAACAGCCCGCACAGGCTGCATTTTTGGGCTGAACTTTCTGTTGTTGCAGTTTTGACATTCTGGGTCACTTTGAGCTGTGTTGTGCTTTTCTTCTTGTGCTGTTTTGATCTTCCTGTGAAAACAAGTTCCTGATCCTCCTTGTCGCCAGATCACCCGGCGTGGGGCGAGCTGTGCAAACGCCAGCCTGCCCTCCCGCCGAGCCCCCCGCCCCGCGGGGCTCGCGCCTCGCCGCTAAAAGGGTTTGCGGATGAAAACACAAGCTGACAAAGCATGAGTGTCTTTGTTAAAAAAAAAACAACTTTGCTATTTTTCTACTTTTAGCAAGATGAAAACGTGTTGTAGGTGTGAAAGAAGAGGTGCCAGCTCCAGCCGTGTGATTTGCCACGTGCGCAGGCTTGAAGTGTCAGTTGGGAAAGTGGTTGTGGGGGTGGAGCAGGGTTACAGGGCAGTGGCAGGGTCCCTCCATTGCCACTCGCGTTTTCCTCCCCACTTCACACAGCTCTCTGCGGCGCTGACTCTGCCCCAGTGTGGGGCAAGACGTCAGAAAGCT